TTCATCAAACGCCATTCACGCTCGTCCGCAATCATCCTTAGTGACGGTGTTCCCTGTTGATAATATGTAATATCTATTTCAGTTGCATGTTAATTTGTATATCCAACCTACAGAATTGCTATTTTTATAACTGTTTGATAAGCATTATGATAATAATATATATGTTGATGTTGTATTACAGCAATGTTGACATTATATATAGACTTAAAAAATTTTTTTAATAATTTGACAACTGGAGCCTGGAACAGACTCCTTTTATACATTTGAACCAGGTTAATCTTGGCCGTCCACTTGGCCTTATGCCGGTCGGATTCGCAAGAAAATGTTATTTAGCCTTCCTTTCTGGAGGCATTCGCTACACATGCCCAAACCATCGCAGCTGTGACTTCTCAATCTGGAGAAAAAAAAGTTGTATACCAAGGCTGTTCTGAATGTCACTATTTCGAACCATGTAGAGACGCGTAAGGCCAGACACTAGTCGCCACCCCAAACTTGTAATCGCCTAAAAAGACCATTTAAGAAGGTCATGGCTTCTTGGTATTTAAGCGCCAGTGCATTTAATAAGACAAGACTGTTTTTGTTTTCTCTAGTTATCATCCATTTTCATCCAATGAACTTCTTCAGCTCACCCTACATTCTATCTAGAGATTATCCTACAAGCCGTGTATGCTTTCTTTTAACCCAGTCTAATATGTCTCTGGTACAGCAATGCTCGGTTCTTCTTGCAACGTTTCCAGCCCATTGCCACTTTAACTTTTTCATTCAAGCAAAGACATCGCACTCTTCTGTTTGTGCTCTTACTCATTCATATGACTTCCTATCTTTACCTGTTATTCCTGACATACGTCTTTCCATACCAAGCTGCATAGTATCCAATTTATAAATAATTTTTCAGTTGCGTCATCACTTATAAGGCTGTAATTTAATACCGCAGTATCTATACGTTTAGTGCATGATTTTTGCCGCCGAAATATAGTATTGATATTTTCTCACGCGTGTGGTTACCTGAACAAGTCCTTTTCGTTAGTTTTTTCATCTTTGGGAGGACATAAATATCTATTCTCCTCAGTTGAATGTATTTTCAGTGAGAACCAGTAGCAATTGATTTATTGACTATTTTATCTGACCGCGCATTCAGCCATTCACCTGCTAACTCTTCCAGCAATTCATGTAATCCATTTATCCATTTGTCCATTCATTCGTTGGTGCATACATTTATACACTTACATCTTCACTCCTTCACCCGATAATTCGTTTTTTGATTGGTTCATTCATTTCCAAGGGACGTTATTCAAGCTTTATTTACTGAATTTCAACGCAGGACTGAGTATTCCCCAATCCTTGGTCCCTTGATACTTTCATAACAGACTGACAGAAGAGTTTAAAATAGGATCCAAATGATCGTTGTCTCAAAGGGTCGGCATACCGATATTGCGCAGTCGGTAGAGCGTTGGACTTAGAACAGGGAGAAAATTTGCTCGCCTTTCGTCCTTCCGAGGTAGGCAAATGAGTGTACCACTCTGTGAGGAGGGGGGAGGAAACAGCAGACTAGACGCTGTGCTTTCCATATGACTACAGCCGAGTTTACATTTAGAGTAAGGCACTCCTGGCTGATAAAATGGAAATCTACATCATTGTCCCATCACCAACTTCATTAAAAGAACCACGCAAGAAATTATTCCATCATGAAAGAGTAAGGTAGTCGCATATTCCAACGGTCACAAACTATTGACTTTTCTTTTTATTTACAGGGACAAACAGTACAGGAAATTTTATGATACTCACCGATACACAAATCCTTTAAGTTATCGATCCAGATCGTTTCTGACTCAGAACTCTGCGAGTTTTGACTTGATAATTTTTTTCTCGACTACGTGGGCTAGCGATAATGTTTCTATTTTATCCGCGATATGATACTTATCAGTTATCAGTGAACCAATGAATATCGTTTCATATAATGTGCAGTTAGTTTTTCTGTCAACGTGTTTTTGCTGATACTGTACATTTCGTATTTGCTTGCATTCGATCTGCCGTTATAGAACATTACAAAAGTACAACCGTGATCCTCGATCGCCTGTGAGGTGAATGAGACGTTGTGTCGTTGCTCCTTTTGAATGTGACATTTGGAGATCCAAATTTAGGCCTTCTAGCTTCAAGGCATGTTTCGTCGAGATCTTCAAAATACGTTTTGGCTTGGCTCTGCCTGTTGCAGCTGTTAGGCCATAGAAGGTGGGGAGGAGGGCAATACGCGTGGTATGTTTCATAAAGAGTTCGTTGGCGACAATCTTCACAAAGCCTATCTAACGTGCATTATTCCTTCATCATAAGCTGCGGTCGTTGTCCTTACCAATTGTAACGGTAAACTACAATGATGACTTACAATACACCTGAAATCTTGCTTACAGGTTCATCTTCCTGATCGGTCAGTTATTCAAAATCTTTTCTTCGCTAAAGCTTCTGTATTCCTCGATGCATACGGGCTTTATTCCGTTCCAAGTTAGCGTCATCGCAAAAGGTGAAGACGCATCGCACGTTGTTCACAGTAGATTGGCCTTTTTCCTTTTGCACATGCATCTGAACGGCTTACAGATATCATTGTGGAAATATGATCAAGCCGTTCGTGCAACCGTGAAACGTCTCCACCTTCTGGCTCTACAGTGACCGGCAGAAAGGGTGTTCCGCGCTGTCCTCTTCCCTTGATGACCATGTCCTGCTGAGTGTCGAAGGCCTTTCGACTGCTCTGGACCGATTCCCCAAAGGTAAGGTCGCTCGCCTGCACGGAGTTGAGAAACGCTGTCGTTACTTCACTCTCACTGACCTTCGCGACCTCCTCAATAGCACTAACTCAAATCTCATGCTATGATCCTCCACTACAAGCATATTTATCGATTTCTGCTAGCAGTTATAGTACCTTAACAAGTACATTAACATCCGCGTTTTTGCAGCGAGGAATGAGCTAGCACTAGTAGCATGAGGTCTTCACTATTTTCACAAAAACCTAACGAAAACTCCTTGTCGGATACTGAAAGAAGTTGCTCAGAAACGACTCTATTCGTCGTTTCACAGAATGGCCCGGTAAGTGTCAAACGATCTTATGCATGAGTCTGTGCAAGGACTCCACCTTCTAGCTGTGCTCCGGCAGATGAGATACCTTTCCTTTTCTGCTTACAGGTTCTGCTACCGAGCCAGGTTAGATTTGCTCCAGACAAACGCCAGGGCTACGGGTAAAATGCATTTCGGTCATTGGTGTGGTTACCATCAGGAGATCCTGCCCTGCGTCGTCTGTCACTACCTTCAAGCACTTCGACCGCCATTAGCTGCTCAACCGGATAGTGATGGGCATTCTAAGGTCGACCAGAAAAGAGCTGCGAGTGAAACTCGCGCTACCCATGATCTGCTCCGGAAACTGCCAGGATATAGTGGTGATCCAGAGAGTGGAGAGGACGGCCATTATAGTTGATGTGACCATCCTGTTAGAAAAAGGGTTGGACACGTTTAACGCGGCTGGGCAACTGAAGACTGATGACTACGCAGCTGAAGCCGTCATCTTCTCTCAGCGGGGCTTCCGTGTCGCCACCGATGTCTTCGTCTTAAAAGGTCTGGGTTCTTGGGATCCACAAAACTGCAGCGTTCTCTGGCTTTCCGGAGTCTGGTTGCGTTACCTAAGTCTGCTCAACAAGCTTGTCATCGGGGTCATCCTCCAGATTTCGTCTCTAAACGGAAGCATCTGCATTTCTTTCCTCGAACTGGAAATTTACTGAAATTGATATTCCATAAACGGCCTTGGATGTTTAACAATACGATAATGCGAGTTTTCTTTTTGCCGTCGTAAAATTTGTCTTTATATGTATCAGCAATAATTTCTACATGAAAGCGGCAATTTTAGAGTTCAGTTATTTATTGCTACAATATTGAAAAATTGCATGTCATGCAATCCTTCAGTAATACAACTTGTTTAATTTAATGCGCTAACCTCATTTCATTTCGCTCTTAGATACGCTGACGTTTGGAAGAAGTTTAGTGATTCACATCCTCAGCATTGTGTTCAGTACTTAATGCGTTGTCGATCAATAATGCGTCATATATTTAGTCCTAATTCTTTGCAAAATGTCTTGGCTCTGACCAGCACAGTCCGACGAATAATCTCACCGGGAAATTCTGATCTTGAACTGGAGCAGTTGTGAAGCAAGCAGTGTGTGTCATGGCGCTGGCTCAAAAGTAGTCTTCATGGTTGAAACCACTTTCCCCATACTGTATCTTTTACTGTATTGATTTGGTGGCCGCTGGCGAAACTTTAACGTGCCACAAAGTAATCTCTCAAACAAACTTCATATCCTTCGCTTCACATTAAGAAGATATGAAGCATCTGCATTTGGGTCGGCTATAAAAGGAACTCTTCGAGGAACGGCATGGCTGGACTCTCTGATGTCCTTTGTACTTGATTGATCGAGGAATACTCAATAAGATATTTCTTTCCGACTGTCATACAATTGAATAATTTCCCGCATCGCTTTTAAACTAGTGTTGCTAAAAAAATTCGAATTAGAGGAATCGCCTCCCTAATCTTATCACGCTGCAATTTCATAGTGGTATTTTATGCTGTGGTGCTTCGATCCTAATTCATCAGTGACGTCCAACAATCATGTCGTGTTTTCCCTCCATTTTAAACTTTCCCATGAAGGACCTTCATCCAGACATTTTAATGAGTGTTCTCGTTCGGTCAGAGATTAGACGTAGGATCAATGCTTTTCATCACGATTTAGCCACAGGTTGGTAAAAACGATTGGCTTCGGTACTTCGACACTAAATCACAGTATAGTTCAGTATAATAGATTTCTTCTAAAGATGCATGCTCAAAAAGTGCCAATTGTTGGAATCTGCGACGGTGCCATAATGATCAAAGCATAAACCAGTCTGTCAACCTTTGACTGCCATAGCCTGGTTAACCTTCCGCCTTATATCTGATTACCTTTATTCCTGATTAGTAACCTTTCGTCGCACTTAATGCTAGATATCATCCGTCAATCCGTTATGCCGTTGACGGTGATGCAGTGATTGTATTCATGAAATGTGCGATGAATGATTAATCATATAAATGAAATAGCCATTGACAACCGACCCAAAAATGTTTTCTTTATTAGAGAGAAATTAATCTTCCAAGAAGGCGGATAAGCGAATTAGAAACTCGTGGAAAAGTTAATATATCCTATACCCGGGCAAGGCAAATGAAAAATATTCTGATAACAAGTACCGCCCGAAGCAGTTTGACTCCTCTTGCGCATTTAAGCATCTTTCTGCTATAACACTCTTCATTTGCACTGGTCTCGCAACGACTCTCTTTTGAAACCTTAACATTGATTCGAGCGTTGCTGCCATCTTTTTTCGCGATTGCCCACGCTTTTCGACATTTCAGCCAAAGTGGAGCTGCGGAAAATGTTTTAGAACTGCTGGTCCGTCATTTAATCTGTTGGAGGCATTATTAAGCCAGTTATTACTTATCTTTATCTTTATTGATTATGCTACAACGTTCACATGATTTGAATAGAGAACGCCCATTCTCTTCGAGACGTAAAGACGTCTAGAGGCTCTGGTGATAATGGGTGAACTAAAACACGCTAGAAGGCTGTAAAATAGACTCTTTCACGGCTGAAGTCTTCAGAAAAACTATGTTTAATCACTGAGGGGAGAATTCCTCTGGCACATGTTTCAAAATGTGCTATCACGAAGTTCATCAGCTAGAACAAAGAAATTGTACGCATGGATTTGAATTCAGGACAGCCACAATCACGCAATACTCATGCACCAGGAAACGAAATGGTGTTCCATGATAAGATGAGAGATTCGAAACTGTTTCACGCAAATATCCCTGCGATTTTAGGGTTGATCTCTTTTTTAAAGCAGAAAGTTTTAAAATGCCTTCGTTCTACGTGCATGCTGTACGTTGCATTCCATGTTCAGCAGCCATACCGATACATTGAAGGCATGGATGAAAACTTTTTCATCCTCCTTGCCTCCTTATTGCAAGGTTGGATATTTCTCTAATTGATATTGTTTTCGTTTTAACCTGCCTCATTTTGACCAGGTCTCTTCCTTGTTGAGCAGTAGTTACTCTTATTTTAATGTGAATAAGTCGAATATCACGTTGGAAATTTCAGATCAAGTTTTAACCTCAACTTCAGAGTTCACTTCTCAATGAGCCTTTCATGCATTAGTTCCCGATAAACAGCAATTTTTCTGTTACGTGAAATGCGTTTCTTTTAGAACGACCACCGATCGAGCGGAGTATGGTGTGCGTGCGAATTTCTACTTTGCGGAGCTCGTGCTCACTGGACTGAATATTTATCAAAGAAATTTGTCATCGTTATATCTCATGACAAACTGTTTACAGATCAGCTTTAGATAGTACTGCATATCTGTATCACTAAAAAATATTATGCTGTTCAAACTTACTTCCTGCCACGTTTTCCAATATATTGGATGACAAAGCATAGGTGTATCATTGAAACTGGAGGTGACGCATACTTCAAAACCTACGATGCGTATTCGATGTTCAGAAAGACGATGTACAGAGAAATCCTTATTCCTTATTAGCACTTAGGCACTGAAACACATGGACAACTGTTTGTTGCCTCTGACAGCCATCTACGTGGTTGTCGGTCCTTTGATAGTCCTCGCTGATTATTGAGCAAATTATCGTAATACCACCTCAGGACAGTCTACCATACAACAATTTTTAAGAATGCCTTGATTTATATGTTGCTGGTGCCAACAAAACTAAATTCTCAATGTTTCCGGACAAACATTCATATGAAATGTTGAAGCTCTCAGTTCTACGTCAATTGTCTGGCCACAGTCACAAAGATATCGATGAGTTAAGTGAAACCAGGCAAAGGGTTTCGTTCTTACACAGTTTCAGACATGAGTATCATTCAG